TTGCTGCTTGTTGTTTCAGCCAACTCTGGTCAGCTCCGCACAGGTGGGGGAGATTCAAGGTCCGGTCAGACAGATTTTATACACAGAAAACCATACAAAACACAGACAGGAAGTAAGCAAACACATTATAAAAAAAACACCAACAATGACTAAGCAAAACATAGAACAACTTCAATTAAAGAGAAAGAAGAAAATATTGAAAACTAAAATAACTTTAGAATGGATCAAAAGGGAGTTCAAATGATAAGGTATTATATTTCACCCTAATCACATCTGCCCTAGTTGACTTTGCGATGCTCTTTGTATGCTAGCAAGGCTGGTCACATCCTTGGACTATATTCAGAAGAGATTCACCAGCCTTGGATTATATTCAGAAGAGATTCACCATAGCCTTCTGCAAACTTGGTGTTTATAATTTAAGCTCTGATACTATTCCATCATTTGCATTTGGATTTTGTTATTTATAGTCCTTGGATCACACAGGTCAGTGTGTTTCCATGTGGACTCAGTAGGTGTCTCACTTAAATGCCTGTTAGCTTGAAGACAAACCTTTAAGATCCCAGATGCTATTCTTTCTGATAGCCGGATACCATCTGTTTTTTTCGCCATGCTTGGCTACAGCATCCTATTTTCAGTGATCTCTTCACCTATCCTTGTTTTACTTAAGGTGTTAAAAGTGTCTCTTTATATGTAGTGTGAAAAAGATACAGTAAGTTATAAACTCTTCAGTAGTATTTCAGGGGACATCCTCTGATGTCCTAGAAGTCAATGTCATCTTTTAGGGCTATTTGTCTTTCTTTCATGTAGAACACTTGGGTTGGCCTGACACAGACCAATGTACCTATGTTAGGCAGAGTTCTCTAGAGAAACAAAACCAATACAATACACACACACACACACACACACATATACATATATGTGGATAGGTTTATATAGAAAGAAGAAACACCACAGCTAATTGTCCACACAGCAGTACAGAGGGCTCAGTTCAACTCACTTTCACGGGATAGTTAATATACTGAATGTCCTTCAACTCACTGGTCCAAGGTCAAGGAAGCAAACAGCAGAATCCGCCCTCAGGCAAGACACGCTGAATTGGCCCTCAGGCAGTAGACATGGCAGGGTGGATGTAACAGCAGGAAGATGTGAAGTCGAGGTGTAGCAGAGGTCAGTAGTGAGGCAGCATAGCATAGCAGGTCCCAATAGAGCCTCAAGCTCTAGTGATGGACAGCACAGCAACATGATCCATAGGTTGGCTGGGCCCACAAGTAGCACAGCACATGGTTGCAGCGAAGAACTAGTTCAGTCAACAATGCAGCATGATGGTCCGATCACCAGGGAGAAAGAAGGAGGCCTGTCTCTGAAAGTCATTTATCTCAGTTGCCCTTCAATCCAGCTGTGACCTGATTGACAGGCTAACCTCCACCCACATGTTCCTATGGGAACCATGTTGGCACAGAAAACCTAACTATCACAGTACCTTAAGTGAGTGGAGGTGTTGCTAAGAAGCTGAACAGGTTTCAGTCATGCCTCCAGAGTAAGATAGACTAGGATAATTGAAAATTATCCAATGAAAACCCTGTGTGTGACAGTTCTTGGACCAATCACGGGAAAGGCGCAGAACCAAAAGGCAGCATTTTGTTCCATTGTGCATGCATTACTGTAAGTTGCAGACTGAATCTGCTGCACTAGCAACAACGAGATAAAATAAGAGGTTGTATGTAGTGACATAAGGTGAGAAAGTGGTCCAAGGGGTCATAGGCCTAATGACTGATGCCTAAGAAGTGCCCACCATTCTCTTTTCTTGCCTATCTTGTGCATGTCTGGAAATAGGTTGAGTGGGTATCTGGAAATAGTCTGATATACACCAGATGGTCGTAAATATGTATTACCTTGAATTGAGTGATGGTTTATGGTGTGACAGAAGGAATACTACATGAAGGGTACTGCATGGGCACTAGCGCTGGTTAGTGGAGTGAACTAGGACGAGCCTCTGCACTTTTTCTCCAAACTCAGTTTTTACACATTCAAAATTGAGATTTCTCAATGGCTGAGACATTGGGGGGACACAATGAAATCTGAAAGCGTATGTGATGCTAGTGGTGGACATGGTGTAGAAGGCATGCGCCGTGCAAAGGCAGAGATAGCTTGTTGGGGATCAGAAGCATGGCTGTGCTACAGTGTGGGCAGTGGGCACCAGTAGTGATATTTGTAGCCTGTTCCTTCTCAATACAGAAATGACTACTAAGGATGGATCAATATTCCAGAAGCCGATAACATATCTGAGTTGGATGACTGAGGCAGGGCTGGTGGTCCAGAAGAAGGAAGTGTTGGCAATTCCTTTGGCCCCACCTTGCTATTTCTCCTGGTTGATACAGAAACCCTATCTGGAATGAGATCATAGACAGTCAAGGCAACAGCATATCGTTCTAGGAACACAATAACTCAGCCAAGGTCCGTGATGGTCAGCAGATGACTCCGTGTTATAGAATTGGGTTGATGGTACCGTCTTGGAATATCTATGAGGGGGAAGTGACTTGTGGAGCAAGGGACAAGTTGCTGGGAGAGACTTGGGTCTGGCATCATAGCAAGCAGCAATGTGAACAAGTAACTTGGGAGTAGGGTGGGAAGTAGGGGGTCAGGAGAGGATGGTCTAAAGGACTCAGGACTGAGCTATTGGTGCATGGAAGGCCAAGCCAGGAGACGGGCTCTTAATTATTCTGGGCCTGATTTCCCCGTTTATGAAACGAAAGGTTGGGTTATCAGCGATCCCTTGGTAACGGATGGAGATACAACAGAGGATTGAGAAGTTAGGTTCAAGATTTCACTCCTGATGCTTTGCTTTTGCTTCTCCTCTAACCCCAAGTTTTATAATTTTGGGGTCCCTGGGAAATGAAAATGGTTAATGTGTTTGGCATTAATGTGCTGGCTACTAACTGGAAGATTGGTAGCTTAAGTCTGTCCAGAGGCATCTTGGAAGAAAGATCTGGTGATCGACTTCTGAAAAACAAAGTATTGAAAACTAGTGCAATTCTACTCTGACACACACCGAGTTGCCACGAGTGGAAATTGAAGTCCTGGTTTATTGGCGCTTTATAACCTTGTATGTCGGATTTCACTAGGGGAAAAAAAAACCCAAACCCCAAAACAAAACAGAAAAGCCGCTGGACTGAAGGCCTTCAGGCCCTTTTCAGATCTAAAAAATTAGCCTAATTCTGTAGTTCTGGGACTCAGTGGTGGCAGACTTGGGTGTGGGAGCTGGAAGCCCAGTGGTGACCCGACAGTTCCAGCTTCCCTGTCTCTGGAGGCAAGAAAAGTGTGGGGTTTCTGAAGAGAAACATGGATGTAAAAGCCCCACCTCACAAACCCATTTGGTAAACATGTAGACATACCACGATGAGGGCATATTAGATTCTCAAACTTGGCCCAGCCTGAGATTTCTTCCTGCAAATTCTTTCACTGAGCCCCACACCTGGAGCCTGGGTCCTGTGAGTCTCAGTTACAATGCAAATGTGCACTCTGGGTTGCAGCCTAAGGGTTCGGTATGGCTCCATTACCAATTAGCTCTGGAACCTCGAGCCAGGTTCCTCCTTCATCAAACAGCAGTCAGAACACACATGCGTTTTATGGGTGAGAAAAGAGAAGCACTGCAGATCAAAACTTACAAAATGCCCCTTCCATCTTCTGCTAAGGCGAGAACTCTCTCCCCTTTTCTCTTGTTAAAAATTGTGTCTGCCCACAGCACTTTGCTTCCCCAGAATGCCGCGTGTAACCTGCCAGCCTTCATTATAACAGACACAGCATTGTAACAGATACAATCGGTACAACGGACTACTTTGAAATGATTGTTAGCATAAAATACAAGCATTTATTTGTCTCAGTGGTCCAGAGCATCTCCTGAGCGCCCACATCGGTTCGGTGGAGAGCAAGCCCTTCATGCATGCGTATGTGAATGTTTATTCCCCTCCCAGAGAGCTGAAGAGCAAACACTAATTTATTTGAGAATGCATGGGCAAGTGATGGGAGGTCCAGTCCCAGACCCTACAGAGCAAGTCCTGGTACTGCATACCCTCCCCCATCTTACTTCTCTAAGCCCATAACTGTTGCTGTTATTGTTGGCTACCATACAATTGGCCTCTGACTCATGGGGACCGTACAGGGGGTGGGGGCAGAATGAAATGCTGCCTGGATCACAGGGCTGTGAGCCATAGAGCTTTCATTGACGGATTGTTCAGAAGCCAGTCTCCAGGCCTTTCTTACGCAAGTCCTTCTTGTTGCTATTTGTTATCCTACCGATTCCAACTCAGGGGCACCCAGGTGCACACAGTGGGGCTTATACACGGGATTCTCAAGACCGTGACATTTCAGACATAGGCTATACGCCAAGGCACACTGACTTGGTTCAGAGAGCTGAACTTTTGCCTAGGAAAACCCACTACCGTGGGGTCTATTCTAACTCGGAGGGACCCTGTGGAGGGTTCCTGTGGCCGTGAATCTATATGGAAGCAGAATGCTTCATCTTTCTCCCAAAGAGCAGCTGGTGGGCTTGAACTGCTGGCCTTGAATTTAGCAGCCCAGCATGTAACCCTCCCACTATACCACCAGGCCAGCAGCTGAGCTTTGAACCTTTAGTACAACCCAGGAACTCCCCCACGACATCTTTAGAAAATGGCAAAATACTCTTAACTGCCTGGCATGAATTATTAGGACAGGGCATGCTGTGTCAGCAAGGGCCCAAGTTTGCCATCTGAAAATTGGGTGAACTTGGGAAATCTACTTCCCCTCTTCCAGCTCCAGCCCCTTCTTCTGAACAACAGGATCGCACTGTCTGCCTCGAAGGTTGTTATGCGAATAAAAGAAGACCGGGCAAGGACCTGCTGCTCAGTTGCTCAGAGAATGGTAGCTGTTAATACGATGCTTTTTGAGCTCAGCTTTGACGATCACCATTTTGAGCTATTGCTGTGGATGATGCCAAGTCTGTCCTTGATGGGACCCAGCCCTCAGGAGTCACTAGCTGAGATCCGCCGTCCAGTGAACAGGGCTCGGAGTGCTCCCTGCACATCCCGATTCCGCAGGCTATAGATGACAGGGTTCAACATCGGGGTGACTACAGTGTACATGACGGTGGCCACACGACCTCGCTCCGCCTCATATCGGGAGGTGGGCTGGAAGTAGACAGCGATGACTGTCCCATAGAAGAGGCCTACCACAGCCAGGTGAGAGCCACAGGTGGACACGGCACGGAGCCTGCCAGAGGCCGAGGGTAGTCGGATGATAGCAATTGCAATAGCCCCATAGGAGGCGAGAATGAGCAAGAAGGGGGTAACCACCACTGCAGCCCCCTCGGTGAAGATGAGCAACTGAATGTGCCGAGTGTCTGAGCACGAAAGCCTTAGGAGTGGCTGGTGGTCACAGAAGAAGTGGGGCACTTGGTGGGAGGCACAGAAGGACAGGCGGGCCATGAGCAAGATATGCAGAAGGGAGTGGACATGAGAGACTAGCCATGCAGTCCCCACCAGGGCTGTGCACACGGTCCGAGACATCCTGGTGGCATAGTGGAGGGGGTGCCGGATGGCCACGTAGCGGTCATAGGCCATGGCAGCCAGGAGACAGCTATCAGTTACACCCAGGGCAAAGAAGAAGTACATTTGGGTCAGGCAGCCCACCAGGGAGATGGAGCGGTCGTGGGCCAACAAGTTGGCCAACATCTTGGGCACGGTTACCGAGGTAAAGCAGAGGTCTGCGAAGGATAGATGGGCCAGCAGGAAGTACATGGGTGCATGAAGGGCTGGACTGACCCGGATGGCGGCCACAATCAGTCCATTTCCCAAGATCCCTGCCACGTACAAGACCAAGAACAGCACAAAGAGAGGCGCCCGCTGTTCAGGACGTGTGGTCAGTCCCAGGAGGATGAATGGGGCTCCCTCTGATGATTTGTTGGCAGCATCCATGGACAATGGTCCTTTCGTCTGGGACCCCAGAGATGTTTTTCTACCGACAGGACATCATTTCCCAGTGTCTAAGGAATAGGGTGATGGCAACTACAGTGCTCAAGGCTTCTTGGCCATGAAAGAAAAATCATAGGTTTGGAGTCAGACAGACTGGGATTTAAGCAAGCCACTTTACCTGTGAACCTTGATCCTCACCATGTCCCCAGGTGCACAATACAGAGATTGAGCTAAGAGATCTTCAAGTTTGCTACATTGTGATGTTCAGCAAAAATCAAACTAACAGAAAAGAGGACAAAAACGAATCTGGATGAATCCTCATATCCTTGGAAACCGTTTCTCAGGGAACCCAAACAGTGAGCACCAAGAAAATGCACTTCTCTCGGTGGGAAATTCACGTGGGCAGACAGACACACCTGCCAATGGCACAGGCTTAACTCTTAAGAACAGAGACTGATCATTTCAATGCCTCCAGATATTTTTCTGTATGGATTCCATTGCAAAAAATTTAGACAATGCTCTAACAGGGGATCTTAAGAACAGGACTTTTAGGGAACATGTGCTCCCCCACTGCCATCCCCCTGGGCTGTTCCTTCACAGTGACGGCTCCTTAGCTTCTTTCTTTGTCATTCTCTGTTAAAAAGAATAAAAACTCAAGTGAAGGATCTTTCTACTTTTGTATTTCCTTTTGTTTCCTGAACTGGGGAAGAAGATTTTGGCTTTGGCTCCCTGTAGAGCATCTTTACTCTAACTCTCACCTTCCAGGAGGGGAAGAGGACTAAGGCAGAGTGGGGAAGACTGTTTACAAAATTGCTTTTGGAAATGGAACAAGTTCTTATCCATGTCTAAGATGCTCCCAATAAACATTCAAATGTACTGAGCTAAGTGCAAGCATGCAGCTATGTGCAGCGCAAGCTAGTCTCTGCAAACACACAGGCACAATCAACCAAATGCAGAAATGTGGATCTAGCACATACATTCGCGCCTAAGTAGGCACACAGACCATTGTTACCACAGTGACCCACAAATCCAGGTAACTGTGCACATAACCACACGGTCAAATGGAATCACAAACTGCAGTGAGGCCAGGGTGGCAAACACGCACAAACTCGGGTTCAAGGTGGCACACGCCACTCTACTCAGGCACTGTGATCATTAACATTCATGCTTCCATGGCGTAGGGGATTGACTTTCTTATTTCTTTCCTTGTTATTCTCTATTAAAAAGACTGAAAAATCAAGTGAACGACCACCTACTTTGTGTGAAGGTGCCTATTCACGCATACACAGTCATACCCAATCCCATCATTGATGACTCGTTCACATCCTCCTGCACAGTCTCAGGATCCCGTAGCCTCATACCATCTCACATCTGGCTGCACCCACATAGGCTCATGATGGAACACAGCAGAGACGCTGTACTCTGGAGGAGCACATTCATAGACACACATTCCCCTCCATAACCATAGCATCCTGCAGTGATAGTGATGCACAATCACCACTCTGCATGAAACACATGGACCCTCATACTTACGCATGTGACTCATGCACACAGTGTACACAAGAAGACTTCTGTATAGTCTTCAGTCTGGCCCTTTGTCCCTCACATGTTCCCTCTGGCCTCTCCACATCACAAGAGGGATGTGGAGCAGAGCAGCAGGGGGCCTGGTGTATCCTATTCTTAGAAGGCCTGGGGAAGGAGCTATTGACCAATTGTGGGCTTTGGAACCTTGAGAACATTTCTCTCCAGAGGCACCACTCCCTTGGCCCTCATCCCTGGGGTGGGAGGAAGCTCAGCTCTGGGACTTGTTATCCTTCCTCCAAGGCCTAATTTGTTGGGGGGAAGCATAGTTGTTGCTACTTTCAACTCTAGGGACTTGTTTGTTTGGTGTAGGAGAAACACTTAGGAGCCCAAAGTATGAAGCTACTGCTCCCCAGCCTCTGTCTGAGAGAAGGACCTGTCTGCTTCCCAAATCCCAAGCAGAGTGACCAGGGTCAAAGGCAAGAGAGTACAGGTTACAGGACTAGGCTCTGGGGCCAATCCTCTTGTCCTCTCAGCTGGATCCTGGTGGGTTTCTTACAGGGAGTGTAGAAGCGTGGGAGGGATTGTGTCTGTGGTGACTGGCGAGGTGAGTGGCTGTGGATGTGTTTGTAGGATTGTATGGCTGGGTGTGAAGAGAGTGATTGTATCTCTGTGCACCTGTGGGTGTCTTATGAACTTGTATCTGTGGGTGCTGCTGTAGGTGGGTCTCTATGAGATTTGATTTTTTGCCAGCATGAATGTTTCTGATTTGAAGCTGGGTCTGGGTTTGAGGGATATTTATGATACGAGACTGGGTTATGAACGTGTTCCTGGGTGTACTGTGGTCTGGGAGAATGGTACCTCTGTCTAGCTCTCCAGGTGGGAGTGATTTTGCATGATTCAATGTCAGAGCAATCATAAAGAGGAATCTTAGACACATGGATTTTCAAGGATTCTCTATTGTCTATGGGATAAAGTTCAAATTTTCCTCCCTTATATCTTAACTACAGAGCACCCTTCCCATTCTCAGATCCTCAACCTTAACTTTCCCTTCTTGTCTCCCAAACTAATAACAACAACAACAACAACAACAAACCAAAGAAAATCAAACTCCCTGTCTTTGAGTCAGTTCCACCTCATAGGGACCCTGTAGGACAGACTTAAACTGCCCCTGTGGGTTTCTGAGACTTTAAATCTACTTTATGGAAGTAGACAGCCTTTAGAGTCTCCTGTATTCCCCGAGCTCATACTACTTCTGTGCTTTTGTGCCTACTCACCCCTTTCTCTAAAAAGCCCCCTTCCCTTAATTCTATTTACCCAAACCCAACTCAGGTTTCAGGCTCTGATTCCTTTTGTACAGTAAGTGCTCCAAATCAAGTCCTTGGCCTCCATTTCAAACTTGCTCTTGTCCTGCCTGCCTTAGTAAATGGGGCTCACAGAGGTATAACGAAGCTCTATTGGGCGTCTCATTTTAAGGGTGGGGATTTGACTGTTTCTCTTCATCCATCCCCCAGATGGGTCTATGTTGTCTTGCAATCTCTCTCTCTTCCCTCTAGCTCATTTTCTGTTAATCTGGCCTAATGGCCCATGACCTCACATTTTATTGATTTGTAGGATTTATACAATTGTGTCTGGCTGATTCACTGATGTAACCATGTGGACGGACACACAGACAACCTGTAGAACCAAAATGATGGGTAGGACCATCTGTAAAACTTGCCCTTGATCGATAAGAAAAGACCACAGGAGATATCTTGGAGTATAAACACCATTGAATGTATGGGGGCCAACCTTACATCATAGTCATCGAATTGCCAACTCTTCTAATAATGTTTCTTGTGAGTTCTATGGTTATAGGAACTAAGAGGAGCTGGGGAGCTAGGAAAGAATTATAAAAATTTGTGATGAGAGAAGGGGTTTTCATTTTTCAAGCCTTTGTCAAAATATGCCCTGCTGGGTCGAGTTTGAGATATTGCACTGCCAGCTTTTGAGATGCCAGGCCACCAGAAAATGGGTTTCCTAATAGGATGACCAGTTGATACTGGTTTTCCTTGGAATGTTCCGGTTTTGAAGCTGAAAGTCTCATCTCCCAAGAATTCCTCCAGTCCTGGGGAAACCAGGGGAGTTTACCATGCTTTCAGGAAAATTGTAAAGTTCCCTAAGATTTGAGGAGATGGTTGGTCTTCTTTACATTCCTCTCTCTGTGAGCCTGGTACCACCAAGCAGGTCATACTTACTAAGAGGGAAGGTCTGGTTCTGGTAACAAGAGACATAACCACTCCAAGAAACCAGACGACAGTCATCAGTATTGGACCTTGCCCGTGGAGACAAAGGAAATGATGTGAACTCTGAGGGGATTACAGTCCCAAGAGCCTTATGTCTAGAAGTCCAGTATGACCCAGGTCTCAGAGCACTGAAATTACTGTGGCCCAAGAGGTCAGGACTAAGGCCCTGTTCTTCCTAAGCACAACCCTACCTCTGAATGTTGTAATCGCATTACAAACTAGACATAAGATTAGCTCTAACCACCCACATGCACATAACTCTAAATAAAGTTAAGCTTAAATCCACTGATAATCACCTACCCTTAAGTTTTAAGAAACATTAATCATTACCCATAACCCTAAGTCTTAAATTAAAGTGACTTAGAATGGCAATTTGAAAATTAAAATACTCTTCATCTGCCTATTTCTCCTCTAGGGTGGTCCTCGCCTATGCGTAATAGTGACAACAGAGTGACTTGAACTTACCGTCAACATCGTCCACACACCAAACTTAACTTAAATCCAACAATCTCTAATAAAACCTAACTCTAGCTCCCCCTCCCAAGGGGGATGGCAACAGACACCTGGGTGAAGGGAGACAGCAGTTAGCGTAAGACATGAAAACAATAATAATTTATAAGCTATCAAGGGGTCATGAGGGGAGGAGGGGAGGAGGGAGGGTAAAAAGAGGAGCTGATGCCAAGGGCTCAAATAGAAAATAAATGTTTAGAAAATTATGATGGCAACACATGTACAAATTGATGTATGGAGTGTTATAAGAGCTGTAAGAGCCCCCAATAAAATGATTAAAAACAACAACAACCCCCCCCCCAAACTCTAACTGAAATTTTCTTTCAATAGAAATGAAACTTGGACTCCAATATTAATGAACTCTACATCCTAATATAGAGCTAAAATATTTAATATTTTTATTGATTTATTGATAAAACTTATAAAATATGTATACACTCAAATATATCCCTAAATTTCTAAATATTTTTAATAAGAGCCCAGGTTTACACAAATTTTGACTCACGTTTAAATTTATTCTAAATTCACTAATTAACTGTATAACCAATCCAAATCTTAACATTTATTTTATTGAAATTCAATTGTAGATTTGCGCAATTGTTTCTTAATTCTAAACCCAGGCTTAGGTTTAGAATTAAATGAGCCCCGACTCTAATCTTAGCCCTAATCTGAGCTCTAATCCAGACTCTATCCTAACCACAGCGTAATCCTGACTCTGTCCTCTATCCTTTGCCGAAGGAGCTCTGGTCAGTGTGTGGGTTAGGCCTTGGGCTGCCAGCCACAAGGTCAATGTCTCAAAAGCAGTCTACTCTCTGGAGGAGAAAGACGACCCTGCTACGATGAAGATGTGTAGACACGGACACCCTTTTTGGAGCCGGTATGAGTCAGAATCTACTGGATGGCAATGGATATCCTAGGCCTAACCTTGACCATGCCCTTAAGCAAGCTGTTGGGATTTTAGGAGGGAGTGTACATGTTCTAGCGCTGTTCCTCATTTCCCCTAGTGTTGGAAGGGTGGGGTGTTTGCCTCAGGACAGGAAGTCCCCTTTTGGGGGCATGAGCAGGTTCTGAAGACTCTCTTCCTGTGTGAGGTCAGGGAGAGCAGGAGTTGACCAGCTGGCCAAGAAGAGCCCTAAAAGGACAAGTGTATAGGAACCGGATGTTTCTGGGGACCAACCTGCTCACTAGTACAGGTGGCCAATAAACCTCCCATCACTTCACCGGGAACATTTATATTTTGAACATGGGGAACGGAGGCAGCTCAGTAGCAGCAGCATCCTCATCGCTGCTCTCGTTCTGGGTGTAGCCCCTTGGGCCTTCCAGTTGAACGCTGCCCTTTCCTCCCGCTTGGTAGTTCTTGAAACAATGCCGGTGACAAGAGGAGAGGCCGGTAGAGAGGAGCGCCCCTCCTTACCCAGGGTGCAGGGGCCTCAGGGAGCACGCTCCCGCTTCCTGCACAGACGGCTCACGAGTGGTCCTGCCCCGGGCCACAGAGTCGGGTCCAGGTCCTCCGGAAGGCCCCCGTCACCTCCTTGTTGCGGAGGCTGTAGATGAGGGGGTTGAGCGCCGGGATGACCAGGGTGTAGAACACAGAGGCCATCTTGTCAGTGTCCAGGGCGTAACGGGTGCTGGGACGCAGGTACATGAAGATGAGGGTCCCGTAGAGCACAGCCACGGCGGCGAGGTGGGAGCCGCAGGTCGAGGCTGCTCTTCGGCGGCCCTCGGCCGAGCGCACGCGGATCACGGCCCCGGCAATGAAGCCGTAGGACACAGCGATAGCCAACAGCGTGGCCGTCTGGATGAAACCACAGACGGCAAGGAGCAGGAGCTCATTGAGACCGGTGTCGTCGCATGAGATGGCCAGCAGCGGAGGGATGTCGCAGAAGAAGCTGTTGACCTCCCTCGAGCGGCAGAAGCTCAGGCGGAAGGTGAAGGCGGTGTGGACCAGGCCGCTCACCGCTCCGCCCAGGCCCGATGCTCCCAGCAGAGCGAGGCACAGTCTCGGTGACATGGCTGCGGTGTAGAGAAGAGGATTCCCGATGGCCACGTAGCGGTCATAGGCCATGGCCGCCAGCAGGCAACACTCGGCATCCGCCAGCCCTGCAAAGACAAACATCTGGAGGGCACAGGCTAGGTAAGGGATGGTGGCACGGGGCAGCAGCAGGTCCACTAACATCTTGGGGCCGATGGCTGAGGAATAGCAGGCATCCAGCAAGGAGAGGTTGGCCAGGAAGAAGTACATAGGTGTGTGGAGTCGGGCGTCTAGGCTAATCAGCAGCACCATGCCCACGTTGCCTAGCAGGCTCACCAGGTAGACAGGAAGGAAGATCAGGAAGAGGGTAATGCGCAGGTCCCAACGATCCGTGATGCCCAGCAGGATGAATTCAGCGGGTACGACCTTAGCCCATGTGAAGTTCTCCGGAGTCATCTTGCAGGAAAGAGACTGAAGATGAACAAAGCAGGTGCAGATGAGAGAAAGGTTTTGACTTCATGCTAGCAGTCAGGTAGCTGTGAGTTTCAGTCTTACCTGGGCCAAAGAATTACTGAATGACCTTGGACAAGCACCTGGACCTCTCAAAACCTCAGCATCTAACTTTGCAAAGTGACTAGAATTAATTGGTACAAGGGCAGGCATCCTGTCCCCATTCTTTAGGACTGCATGTTAAGTTTGGAGGACATTGCCTGGCACATAGTAGGTACTCCAAAAATGGTGAATGGGATTTTTTGTATTGGCTGAGGATTAAAAACAAGACTCCATATGCTTCCTTCTCTTCAGTTTCCCAAGGAAGAAAAGAGATTCTGCGAAGTGAGCAGAAAGTCTCTTTGATACAAAAGATAACTCGCTCTAGGTCTTGAAGTGTCCTGGGAGGAGGTCTTCCCACTGGGAAAGAAGAAAGCATGCACAGTCCAAGGTTTTGAAGAAAGAACGAGGAAAGATCAGAGGACTAGCATGTCTTCCTGGCTTGGATTCTTTAATTCTCTTGAGATCACTTTTCTCGTTTTCTCATTTGTACGAGAAGAATAAAAAATATGCAGATTTTTTTGCTGGCAAGGATGCAGTGATATACTGCAGGTAAAACATTTCACACAGGTTGGGGCCCATAGCAGGCATTTAGCAAAGCTCCAATTAATTGAAAGGAACAAAATGCCCTACCTCATTTTAAGGGAGCAGTGAAGAGTCGAGCAGTTCGCAGAAAATGCAGTATTATTTCATATTCCCTCAGCCTAGAACCTAATTCTGCTTTCTGTTTTTGTTGGCCATTATCTCCAATGTGGAGTATTTCTGACTGAAACCTTCCCTTGTGTGTGCCCTACTGTATTGGGTCATGGATTAATTATGTCATTCTATTGCAAATGTTTTTATATCTCTGTTTCTTTTGGAAGGAACGCTGGTGGCACAGAGGCTAAAGCACTGGGCTGAGGTTGGCAGTTCAAACCCACCAGCCACTCGGTGGAAGAAAGATGAGGCAGTCTATTTTCTGAGAGATTACAGCCTTGGAAAAACCCTACTCTGCCCTGCAGGGCTGCTTTGGGTTGGAATTTGACTCGACACCAATGGGCTTGACTTAGGTGTCCATTTCCTTTGTGAGCTTTGAACTTCTTGATTCAAGAAACACATGTTGAGTATTACTGTGTGTTAAAAATAGTCCTGTATTTTTGTATTTTCAGGGACTGACGTGTAGTCAGTGCTAAAGAAATGTTCATTGAATGTATAAATCAGTTACAAGAGTATAGACTTTAGCCCATAGCATGCCCACTTCCTGGTGCATAACTTGTAACAAGTCACTTCACTTGTCTTAAGTTCTGTTTTTCTTCACTGTAATGTAAGGATCCTAATATGCAAACTGGGGCCTTCTAAGAGGCTGTAGGTATGCTCTCTAGGACCTGGAGCTGAGAAAGTACTCTTTCTTCCTCTGAGAGGAGTTTGTATGCTTTGTGAGATAGTTTATTGTGCCAGCCTGGCCAATAAACACAAGTGGGATTAACTGAAGGGCGGAGAGATAAATGGCTCGGTGTGCCTCACCTTTCTTGTCTCTCGCTCTTTGATCATCGGACCAGTGTGCGGCTGCCTTGTTTGTTCTGTGCCTCAATTTATAGGCTACACTACCTATAGGACGCCTAGCCTGTGGGCTGTGTCGCTGTAAGTTGAGGTCCCTTTAAGACATCTCTGGAGCTGGGGACCGGCAGTTGGGACTGGTGGTTGGTTGACAGTTGGTGATCTGCCTTGTGGTTGGCTGCTGTGCTGAGATAGCCTCACTCTATCTATAAATAGAGGAAGATATGGCAGCAGATGAGACTTGAAGGATTGCTAGTCTCTTACAACTCTCTCTCTTATGGGAGTGAGTTGCACTGAGCCATTTGTACTGCTTTATAATTTAATTGTTCATATCTTGTATTATATATCTATCTATCTGTATATAATTTAACAGTTCATTTCTTGTTATATATCTAATTATCTTTATAAATAAATATATAAACTTATCAGCAATCTGGTTTTATCTCTCTAGAGAACCCTGTCTAACACACTTTGCCACATACCTTTGCCGGCTAAGAATGATGAAGGTCTTCCCACAAAGCAGAGTCTGGACGAAAGAATTTGTGGATATCACAAGCTGGTGAAGTGACACTGGTAGTAATGTAGATCAGGGTATTTGGAGAACAATTTGGCAGTGAACTATTCAAAACTGCATATCCTGTTGACTCCATTTCATGGTGTTTACTTTTAAATACTCTTACACATGTCCACAAGGAGATGCTCCTGGACTGTTTGTAATGCAAAAACATTAGCCCAAGCAAATGTTTAGGAAGAGACTTTTAACAGTAATGGATTCAACCTACATGCATTAATATGGGAGAAATCTCAAAAACACTGAGATTTTTGAGTCTCTTTGAAAAAGAGACTGGCAGATAATATATAGATGAATGGAAAAACAAAAAACATTGGTATGCATATATGATATGCACATATATGATGTGCAACATACTGCTGGTTGTTCCCATCAGGGATGAGGGTTCCAGCTAAAGAGTCTGAACCTATCTCATCTGGCTGAGGTCAGGGACCATGTCTAATGCATCCATGTAGTCTAAAGAAGAAAGCATTTTAGGATGAAGTGTTATCTTTCCCTTTTCCTTGGTAAGGGTCACTGCCAGAGGTCCTATAGTCTCTGGGGGTACAGGAAGGAGTGGGACCCACTTAACTACATGCTCTCAGTGAACAAAGTCACCTGGCCAGCTGGAGGTCTGGGTCTAGAGCCCAGCTGGTGGCCAGCCTCTTGTGTGTTTTGGGCTTTCCTCGCGGAAAGCAAACACCACTCACCTTCACAAAGTGAGGGGCAGAACGGCTTTGATGGCTTCTCCATTTCGCCATCTGCAAAATGGGACCAGTGAGACTGCAGGGCTTTTAAGATGCTTTGACATTTTGGTTGCAAGGATTCTAAAACTTTAGTGGCTATTATGAAATGTGTGTGAGCAAAAGACACAATTAATTTTCCACTCGCTTCTCTTTCTTGCCTCACTATCCACAAGGAGAAATCCAGACATACTGGGGCTTGGGGTACGTAGTTCACTGCGAGGCTTGTCACCAGGACTTGGAGACCTCCAGTCTTTAGCGCAGTGGCTCTCCACCTTCCTCACACCTCGGCCTCTCATACAGCTCCGCATGTGCTGGTGCCCCCTCAACCATAACATTATTTTCGTTGCTACTTCATCACTGTCATTTTGCCACTGATATGAACTAGACTGCAATTATCTGATACGAAGGATGCATTTTCATTGTTACAAATGGAACATAATTAAAGCATAGTAATTAATCACAAAACAATATGGAATTATATATTGTGAAATATTTATTTCTAATTACAAATAAATGAAATTAACATGGGTAACAGTCTTCACACCGGGTACTTGTATGTGGGCATATCTGCATGTGGGCAGACCCGCCTGGAGACGGATAGAGGAGCTGTGTCTCAGTTCCCAAGACCATCAGAAATATGTGTTTTCCAATGATCTTAGGTGACCTCTGTGAAAGGGTCGTTCGACCCCCAAAGAGGTCGTGACCCATAGCTTGAAAACTGCTGCTTTAGTGGAGTAGCTGCTGAGTTCTCCTTCTTGTGCTGATACACATTAGCAAGGAGCGGGGAGACTGCAGTTTCCTGAACTTAGTTCCTGGCTCCAGTTAGCCGAAAATGGACTGTATTGTCCATTCTGATGCTTCCAACGTTCCTGCGTCTGCTTGACACCTACTTGCATCTTTCAGCCTCAGGGCTTTAAGTGTCTGAAGTCTGTTTATTGTCTGTCTGTTTGTCTAGCTATCATTTATTAATCTATGCAAGAAGGGGATTTTAAAAGTTCTTGGAAAAATTCCATTACCTTTTATTTTTACATTTTTTCCCATTGCCTTTTAATTTCATTTCTCTGCAAACTTTTTGAAGCCAGATCGAAGCCCCATATCTACCATCTATCTACCGATCTTTTAATATCTAATCATCTATTCAATAGATATTTATTAACCTGTCTACTTACTGCCAGGCCCCAGAGGAGCACAGAGAAGAGGTGTAGCTATGACAGATCTGTCTGCTGTTGAGGAGCCCGGTGGTGTAACGGTTTTTGTGTTGAACTGCCAGCTGCAAGGTCAGTAGTTCGAACCTACCAGGAGCTTTGTGGGATGAAGATGAGCCTTCTGCCTCCTATGGCCCTGGAGTCCCACAGGGGCGGTTCTATTCTGTCCTCTAGGGTCGGTATGAGTCACAGTCGACTCCATGGCACCACATTTATTTACTGTTTAGTTTGGTTCTTGTGGAGTTTTCAAGCTGGTGGGAGCAAAGAACTACTCATCAAATTGTCACAGCAACAGAATTAGAAATAGGTTGACATGGGATTCATAAATGACAGCACAGTATGTCATAGAATATTGTACAATCGTTTAAATGAATAAGGTAGAACTCATACATGCCAACATGAAAAGATGTCCAAGACACAGTTTTAAGTGCAAATAAGTTAGATTGTGAGACTAGCATGATTTCATCTTTGTCAAAAATCTGTGTGTATGTGTGTGTGGTTCTCTGTGAGTGGGATTGTATGTAACTTTAGTTCTCAAGGTTGTATTTTCATATCTTTGTATTTTTTGTAGCCAGCATGTATCACTTTAATAATAACAAGCAAATATGTGAAAGTGGAGGAGACAGACAGGGTCTTGTTTCTATGTTCTTTCTGAATCTATGATTCTTTCTTAATAATATTATTTGTAACACTGACTTAAATCATAAAGTTTACAAGACACCTTTGAAAATGCATCAGCCCATTTGAGGTGCATGATGGTCAAGTAGAGTAATAACACAAATTTTAAGTTTTCAAAAATGAGGAAATGGAACTTCAGAGAAGGAAACAACTTTGCCTACAGTCGTCAGGAGCTGGCTCCGGTTGAACCCT